TCAACATCACTGGAAATCAGTTAATAGAAACGAAAACCTCCACAAGACGCCCATTCACACCTACAAGGTTGGCAGCAGTTTCAAGTCTTACAGTCCAAGTGCACTCAACGATGAGGACTAGGCAGCCTCCCAGAGACCAGTGTGGATTGTTGTCTGTTGAAATGCAGGATGGAGGAGCCCACAGCTCTTCCCTCTCAGCCCCAGGAACTCATACCAGCACCCAAACCCAGGGGTGCTCACAGCAGAATTGTTTGCAGTGCAAACCTCACAAGTCACGGACACGTCCATTAACTGGAGATTGGACAACTACATTTCGATATGTTCATACACTGAGATATTGTTTACCAGAAAAAACAACTAAACTAACTCTAAGTTAAGAATTTACCAGCACACCCCAGGACGGATGTTGTGCACCCCACACCCTGAGGCCCATGAGGAGAGAAGGGAGCTTACCGGCCCTGAGTAGACTAGGACGAGAGTGAGGACCTCTGCAGAGACAGCCCAGGGTGACAGGTTTGGGTTGAACACAGAGGGGGGTTTTTTAACAGGCCAATTTGGCTTGGGATGGAAGAGGCTAACCCCAAGGGAATGAACTCCCTGTCATTGGAGGTGTGTAAGCAGGCACTGGGCGGCTAATTTGTGGGCTGTGAACTGAGCATTGGGCACAGCAGTATGAGGGCGGGCTGGATATGGACGGCCTTATGACCCTCCTACACACCCCCAGAGGCCTCATGGTTCTGGGATTCAGTGAGTTTGCAGGTGTGGCCCCAAAAGGGTGGGGCTAAGTGAATAACCAAATGTGACACATCTTCTCGATGGGACACTGCTCGCCGATGCAGGGACAGACCACAGCACATGCAGTCACATGGATGAGCCTCAAAACCACGCCGTTGCACGAGACGACATGGACTGAGTGATTCTAGAAGATTCTAGACCTCCATATGAAAAGCAAAATTTTAGAACTTTTAGAAGAAAACATAGGAGAAAGTGATATTGCCAGTAGGAGAGAAATTCTTAAGCAAGACTCATTCAAAAAACATGAGCCGTTAGAGAAGAAAATTGAAACTTGACCATGTACAAATAAAAATTGTGTTTATTAAATGTGGCCACTTTTAAGTTGTGTAGTGGCAGAAAGCAGATCAGAGCTTGTGTGTGAGTTGGGTGGGGAGCTGGGGAAGAAACAGAGGGAGGGGTGGACTGCATAGCAGTGGGAGGGAACCTTCCGAGGTGAGGAAGGTGTTCTGTGACGTTCTGTATCTTAGCTGTGGAGGAGGCTTTATGGGAGTACATATCTGTTGAAATGGATGGAATTGTACACTTCAGATAGATATCATATGCCTCAATATGCATACTTAAAATTTAAAAAAGAAAAGGTGAAGAGGACTAGACTGGAGTCAGGGCTGCTGCGTCATGGCCTTGGTCACATGGACTTGGGCCTCAGTTTCCCCCTCTGCGAAACTGGAGTATTGGACAAGGAGACTTAGGTTTTCTCCCAGTGTAGTGGCACAGGTGCGCACCCTGGGCAGGTGAGTGAGCCTCTGTGTGCCTTGGTTTCCTCGCCTGTAAAATGGGGGAGTGATGGGAGCCCCCAGCAGTCCTGTGCTCAGAGCAGGGTTTACCACACTGGAGCACGCAGTGACTGCTACTGTCCTTTGGGCCCTGTGCTGCCTGGCTGGTGTTGTCCAAGCTGCCTGACCTCCCGACTCCCATCTTGCCATCCTGCCAACCCTGGCCTGTCCACACCACCTCAGAGCCTGCGGATCAAGGACATCTCGAGAGCGTGGTGCCAGGGTTCCCGTGTCATTTCTGGTACAGATTATAAGTTCTTCAGCGGCAGCTTCTAGTCTTCCATGTTTAGTATTCACTGGAGTACCAAGCCCAGAGCCAGGTATTCAGGTGATGCATAAATGATGCATGGAGAATGGAGGAGTTAATGGCTTTAAGTCAGGGCGATGTTTTGCCTGGGTTATCCTGGAGAAGTGGTTTTCTTGGAATGGAGAGTAGGTGCAGTTTTAGGACTGCCATGGCCACGTATGGTTGGGCAGGTTGTGTACAGCATAAGGAATCTCCACCATATGGGGGTGAACAAAGGGTGAAACTCACTATATATGCCTTCCAAGTCATGTGGCCTCGCCATGGCTGGGTATTCCCAGGGAGAGGCATTATTCTTTTTTCTTCCCTTTAAAAAAAATGTTTTATTCTGGAATAATTTTAGATTTACAGAAAAGTTGCAAAGATAGTAAGAGAATTCATGTCTACCTTTCACCAGTTTCTCCTCATGTTAACATCATTTCTATAACCACAGCACGTTTGTCAAAACTAAGATTGTTATTGGTACAGTACTATTAAAAGCTTCAGACTAAGCCGGGCTCGGTGGCTCAGCCTGTAATCCCGCGCCTTTGGGAGACTGAGGTGAGTGGTTTGCCTGAGCCCGTGGGTTCGAGACCCGCCTGGGCAGCGAGACCTCATCTCTACAATAAATCGAAAAATCAGCCGGGTGTGGTAGCGCGCGCCTGTAATTCTGGCTACTCGGAAGGCTGAGGCGGAAGGATCGCCGGAGCCCAGCAGGTCGAGGCTGCGGTGGCTGGGAGCGTGAC